TCCACTAAATATTATCATGTGGTTACACACAGTGTTACTTTATCACTCGGCAAAGTACAGGTCATCAGTTTGATGGCAACTGCAGGAGATGAACAATGATGCTGATGAAATGCGCTTTCATTTTAAATCCTGTGGGCATCAAAGCAATCAAAAGATCTCCATGGAGGTCTTCAAGAAAACGTAGAAATTACCCATGAGTGTCTGACATTATAATTCCTTTATTAAAAAGACATCCAATGCTCTTATGTGGTGTGGCCAATAACATTTCCATGATTGTTAAAGACACAAACATGTCTCCACCCTTGAACAGATTTATTTTCACACATGCTGGGTGAGGTGTCTGCAATTCCTCCCTGCCCTGTCATTGTTTGTTCTGCTGTTAAGTGTGAATATGAGCAGAGATTCCACAGAAATATAGCTCTTTTTAAGGGCTTCCCCTGCTCCGCTGAGCGCTGTTTGCTGATGTCACAGCAACCCAACGGCTTTCCAGACGTCTGAAGTCCGCTGTGTCCATCAGAGGGGTGAGAACCAGACCTTGAGGCTCTGCAGTCGTCCTCAGAGTCACAACATGTGGCTGTATGATGTAAAAATCCAGCAATGTCTTGCATTATTCTCCATAATTTCAGCCTGACTTATTCATACGTGCATAATGTATCAAACAAGACATTTCTCACTGCAATATGTTTGTGTTAATAGCTTAAATTTAGTACAGATTAAGTGTTTTTCTGTGTTGTGTTAAGCTAAATTGCAAATGACTAGTGCGGCCATGTTCTGTGAAGTCATAGCTGTGTTTTCTTGTACTGGTCTGCCTCTAATTACTCCCGGGCTCACGTCTGATTTTTGCACACATACTTTTTGTCTAAATGTGGGCAACTCAAAACAGCAGCTCTTTGATCACCTGGACGCACACCAATGACAATACGCCTGGATGAATACAGACTTTCCAATATGCTCCCTGTTGACTTCAAACGGATGGACACATGATGAATTCCCCGTCCAGACGCTGAAGCATGCAGGGAATGAAATGGAAATTCTATCAAACTCAAAAAACACAGGCTTAAATTTGCCAAATAAACAACACTACTATTCCTCTTCCTGCTCCAGAACATCTTTTTGCTCAGCATCATCAGGTTCCCCGAATCAGCCATGTCTGCAAGACCCACTGCATGACACCAGAGTCTCAGGGGTCAAATGAAATGCATACTTTAAGTGCCACTTCATCTTCAAGGCATAACGGTGAGGAATAGTTCAAGAGTAAACTCATATAGAGCCGTTTTGGGTTGCCCATCACGCTCCGGTTAATAAACCCGCATGGCAGTTCATTGTAAAAAAAATGGTCCTAACACACTTTTCTGTGGCCATGCATGACTGCTCCCCAAATGGGCTCTCCTCCAGCACCTACTGTCTGTTTATGTAGCCTGCCACCAGGGCAGCCAGGAATGCACTTCCAACGTGATCTGCTCGCACACATCTCGGAGACGAGGAGTTTGCCTCAACCTGCTGATGTGAGCTGTTTGTGTTTTACTTCTGCGCAGGGGTAAATGTTTTGATTAAAAGGCTGTTACTATTTTGCTAGTCACAATGTCTTTGTAGTGGAGGGGTTTGCTGCCGTGCTGATGGATGGATGGCCGCTCCCTGCCTCCAGTGAGCGGTTGAATGAGAGAGGAGCTGTCATCACCTGGCTGCCGACACTGTTGCCTGTAGAGAGGGGAAGGCGGGTGCTGGTGGAGGAAGGAGGGGGGGGGGGGGCAAATGGGAGTAGGAACTGGATGGAGAGCCAGCGAAGGACAATGTGTTGAAGTGGGAGAGTGATACAGGCCTGAGAATAGAGAGGGAAAGCCATGTGCAATGGAAGAGAGGTTAGTGTTGGGTGCAGTCCACCTCACACCCTTCTCCCAGAAGGCCCTGAAAGAGGGAGAGAGTCTGCATTACGTAAAGGGGGAAAGCAGGTGGTACTGTCACTGCTCAGCCTGTGACTCCACGGTTAAATGCTTCAGTAATGTTTAGGTCCCATGACATGATGAAAAGTTTCACAGCATTCAGTAATAGGGAGACAATTACTCGGGCTGTTACGCATTGTGCTAGACGTCCACGTCAGAAAATGATGGCAGGACATAAATCCTGTGAACAAAAGGAGTTTACAGCATCTCTCTGAAGAGACTGAGAAGCAAAGTTTATTAACTAGAGAGTCACACCGTCATAAAGGGAGATCACGGGGAGGTTATAGTTACATCAGCCATCTTTTTTATTAACTCAGAATCATGACTATGAGCCAGAGAGACAAACCTATGTTCAAACAACTCAATTACTTTCAGTGAATTGGTAATAATTGATGTTTTCACGCACATCTATCGCACAACTTCACTCTCCTTTGATGCAAATTCAAAACTCGCAGAGCAGGATGAACACCGCTAATGAGTCTTCACTCAACTCTTTCAAGTATAAAGAGCAACCAGTAAAAGATGTGTTGTAAGTTGCCAAGATAACAACTGTGGCTGCAAGCTGCAAGAGATACACAATAGTCTCACAGTGCCACCCTTTGGGGACTACAGCAAAGTGCAGGAGGTGCTGACTGTTCCACATGTGCTCGTTTTAAGTCAGAAATCACTGGCAGAAGTAAGATGAAGAAACTGTTTGTGAATTTAAAATCTGACAACTGTCACAATCCGCAATGAGCAACTCGGAGACAATCTGCCACTGAATCATTAACAAATGATGACAACAGTGTACTTGATGTTTCCCAAGGTTTTCAGTGTGCGATGGTTCATTTGTCATCCTTGAGAACAGCCAGTGCTGGTGTTCAGGGGGATTAGTGTCAACAAGGGAGAGACCAACAACAGCAACTAAGTAGTCAAAAGGCCAGCTGCCATTTGGGTTGAATCTTACATTCAAGTGACACAATCTTTTATATCTCCTTGGTGGACAATTTATGCATTAAATGCTAAAAAATGTTTACTTCATGCTTTGATGGTGAGAGTGGACTTGCTGAGGTCGTTTCTACTAACTACTCTGTTCTGAATCACACCAAAGTAAATGGCTATTTCACCTGTTAATTTTCATTAAACTGTTTTCTATAAAAAAAAAAAGTATTATTTTTATTTGAATGATTCAGCATATCACACATCAGATTCCATGTTCAGAGCAGAATGTATTGACTTCCAAATAGTTAAATTCAATCTTTCTGAATGAAATATTGAAATTTTCATCATTCACGATGATATCAATTAAATAATTAGAACATCTGTGAGACTACAATTTTTAAAAGTGCTAAGACTGGCAATCAACATATAAAAGCTATCATTTCAGGTGCTAACAGAGCACTCGTTAAAATATGTGACTTTGTTGTGAACATTAGAGAATTGGTGCGAAAACGTTTCTAAAAAAACATCATGAATCCACCATTTGTTTCTACATCCACATATACAAGTTAAAAGAGATAAAGAGAGGGAGAGAGAGAGAGGGAAAAGAAAAAACTATAAGCAACATACGCAAAATCTGTCTGGCTATTGTGGTCTCTTTAAGAGCACTGATTGAAAAATCATGTGATATTTGTCCTCATAGGATGGACTATTAGTGTAAATCATCTATAGTAATGTTGATGCTTCCTTTTTTAATCTATTGTCCATGGCAAACCATGGTCTTGGAATCGAACATAATGATCATAAACAGCTAAAGTTTGTGGGAAATTTGAACAAATATGACACATTTTCTTATTCACCTTGGAAGCAAGGATAAAGCCAGACTCAGTGTTCTTCCAATATCAATTTAGCTTTGGTTTCAGAGATGTGCATTTTACACACATGATGAGGGCCTACAGGTTATTATTCACCAAAAAGACACAATATCTGCGCACTAAAGGTTCACCTAAAATCTCTGACGCTAACTTGAAACAGCCCATGATGCTGTAGTTCCAATGGTGTGGTTAGCTGAGAGGGTGAACCCGGCTCTTAATGTTAAAAGCTGCAGCACTGTTCGGAGCTTATACCCTTAGAGCTGGCATGGTTTTGATTTTCGGAGGTCAAAACAGTCAGCTGATTTCTTGATTGTGCATGCGTGGCCTGCAATCATTATGACTCAAGAAAAAGAAAATCAGCACTTACGGGACCTACAAATGAAGCACAAAGAGCAAGTTAATTAAAACAATTCTGTGTTTTTGTTAAAAAGCTTTCACAGGTGATGTCCAGCTGGGTCCCACGCTGCTCTTTAAACCAACCCCCTCACTTATCCTCTCCACTCAGCCATCTATTGTTGATTTTTCATTTCACTGTATTCTTTTTGTCATGACTTTTGTGTCTTGATATATTATATTTTATCATCACGGTGACACAGAGTGACCTTCTGAAGAGCAGACATTTTGACTGGTGAAAAAGACAGCTGCAATTCCAGTGAGATGGCCTTGAAAATAATTTAGTTATTTTGTTTCTTATTCAATTAATGTTGCCTCTTTCTCTTTAACTCTTATCAGGTCAGACTTCGTAAAAAAACTAACATCTGAAGAAAAACCTCCACATCCTGAATTACATTTTGATAACTTTTGTATCATTACCCTCTCAAGTTGCCATTTTTTGTTGTTACAGATGTAACTAATACTTATCTGTTTTCTTGTGATGATTGATATCTAAAATGGAGTCTCTCTCTATACACAAAAAAGAAAATCGATATCTTAAGCTTCTTGACCACAAAAGTGGTCTTAAAAAAACGTTGCCTATTTCAGAGCCAACATACTTATATGAGTCAACATTTTGTGGCTGTGCACGTTTATGAGTGAAACGTGAAGTCATTTAAAGCCAAGTGATTTATTGTTTATGTTATAAGGGGGTAAACAGGCATTCAGACTAGGAAACATCTGTACTGGAGATATAAACGATTAGCCTATATCTTTTATTGGAAAATGTTATCAATCAATTTAAGAATATCTTTTAGCCTATATCTTTTATTGGAAAATGTAATCAATCAATTTAAGAATAATCACCAATCTGGGACATAATAATATGTTCTTGGACATTACGCTGATATATGTTTGGTACCGAATAATCCTGGGGTCTCTACGGCGGCCAAATCAGTTTAAAACGCATGTTATAAGTCTTCGCAAGAATTTAGGTAAAGATGATGGATGAAGAATGAATCTTTCGCCCGAACTGAGGACGCTCAGGCCGGCCAGTCGCTCCCCGATGCGTCGGCTGGATAAAGTCCAGGAAAAGCAGCAGAGCGCAGATGCTCGCGGGATCGGCTGGAATATGGCTCTCTCCAGAGGTTTGAGATGCTGCCAGAGGGTTTTCTCCTGGATCCCCGTCCTGATCATCGCCGCCGTCGTGCTGTGGTCCTACTATGCCTACGTCTTCGAGCTGTGCCTGTGTGAGTGTGTGTCGGGCTGGAGGCTGCGGGCCGTTTCTGGCCGTTTCCTCACACCGCAGATTACCGCAGTGTTGACAGAAGCAGCCTGAGTGGCAGGATTGGAGCTCGGAGAGGACGCGGAAGTGGCCGAGTGTGCCTCTTTCTATTCGAATTACAAACATGTCGAGGGCTTTATTTTCCATAATTATGTTGCTTGTTACAGGTCAACGTTAGCTCGACGTCCACACAACAATTATTGTTGCTCTCCCAGCCTCATAATCCTGCTAGTTGTGTTAGCCTGGACATGTTTCTCTGTCATGCATTGTCAGTTTCTCGTCTGTGCCCTTTTAAAAAAACATATGTTCACTTTTCTTCTGTTAACAGTTACGCTCAGCAATCCTTTGGAGAAAGGTAAGCTCGGCCCTGGTGTTTCTGCTGTGAACAGAGTCAGACTGAGAGTTCTAATGATCTAATCCTGACTGGCTGTGTGCTTGCAGTGGTTTATCTGTTGGTGTTTCACGTCTGCTTTGTGATGTTCTCCTGGACCTACTGGAAGTCCATATTCACCCCTCCTGCCACACCCTGCAAAAAGGTACCTGGGAAACTACGTTAGGTACGCGTCCGGTCTGCCCTACCTCTAAAGAAAAACCTCCCCCTTTCCTGTTTTAGTTTCAGCTGTCGTACTCCGACAAGCAACGCTACGAGATGGAGGAGAGGCCGGACGCCCAAAAGCAAATCCTAGTGGAGATCGCCAAGAAGCTGCCCATTTTCACCCGAGCTCAATCTGGAGGTAAGCCCTCCTGTCAGACATTCAGAAATATCCCAACCACTGGGGTGCAGAGCCCCCTCCGTGGGTTTGGGCGTGTGCTGAGAGCAGGAAGGTGAGGGCAATCAGCTCTGTGTGCTCTCCCGAGCATCCCCAGCCAGAGCAATCAGCCGATGGGCCGCTTTCATTAGTGCTGATTGCCCGGAGTAAGTTCTAGACGGCGGGAAGTTTGCGAAGGGGGATGCTCAGCTCAAATGTCGTCCTTTCAAATGGCCATCCTCTTGTCTCCAGCTATCAGGTTCTGTGACCGCTGCCAGGTGCTGAAGCCTGACCGCTGTCACCACTGCTCCGTTTGTGAAACGTAAGCCTCTCTTTCCTCCGCAACACATTCACCTGGAGAGACTGACCACGGCGAGGGGGGATGTGTGTGTGTCGGCCTGGCGGGGGACTGTTGTGATGTTTAGTCGTTGGCTTGATCTTGTTTTTGAAAGAGAATCCCACTGACCAGTCAGTGCTGTCTGCCTTCTCCTTTAGCAACAAGAGATGTTGGCCGTTGACACAAGTGAAAGGTTTTGTTTTGCCAGCAAAGCCCTTTAGCATTACGCAATAAAAGGAATTTCTTTATTTCCCCTTAAGGTGTGTGTTGAAGATGGACCATCACTGCCCCTGGTTAGTAGTAACCTAGCCTGTTACCTAATGTTAGAATGTATAAAAGTGTTTATTGGACCGTGACGTCAGGTTTATTTCTTTCTTTTTCTCATAGGGTGAACAACTGCGTTGGTTTTTCCAACTACAAGTTTTTTCTTCTGTTCCTGGCCTACTCTATGCTGTACTGTATATTCATTGCTGCCACAGTCTTTCAGTATTTTCTCAAGTTCTGGGTGGTGAGTGTCATTTACTTCCTCTTATTGCTCATTATCTGATGATGCATGTTTGCCGTGGTGGGATTGGCAAACGCGTTCACACAGCCTGTCCTCTCCACTGTTTCGGTCTCTCAGGGGGACTTGCCAAATGGGCCCGCAAAGTTCCACGTCCTCTTCCTCATGTTTGTAGCACTCATGTTCTTCGTGAGCCTCATGTTCCTCTTTGGCTACCACTGCTGGCTGGTGGCTAAGAACAGATCCACTTTAGGTGAGACTTCCTCTTTTTTATGTTAAAGAAATTGTATTATTCTGTTAAATGTAAGAATGGCAACTTGAAAACACATTTCGATTCCTTCTCCAGAGGCCTTCTCTGCTCCCGTCTTTGTTGGTGGACCAGACAGAAACGGGTTCAATGTTAGCATGCGCAAAAACCTGCAGCAGGTTTTTGGAGAGGACAGGAGACTGTGGTTTCTCCCCATCTTCACGAGGTGAGCTGCTGTCAGGAAATAGGTTTTTAGAGTGCACTAAGTTACCCAAAGGTCTGTAATAAGATGCTGAGTGCAGGATACAAGCAGGTCTAACCAGCATTCAAAGTAACATACAAAATGTTGAGTGGGGAATCTGGTAACAGTCTTCAATCTTTAACTAACCTCCGCTTCCTTTTGTATCCTATGCGTGTCAGCCAAGGAAATGGCCACTACTTCCCTGTGAAGAGTCAGAGTTCTGAATCACATAACCCCTTATTAGCTAATGAAGACATGTGGGAAGAGTCAGATGATGGCTCTGAAGAAGGAAGCCAGGGTGAGTTCACTAAATGTAAGATATATTTCTGCTCTCACGCACACTATGCACACTATGCACACTATGCACACTATGCACTATGTCCAGAATGCAAGTATTTTTCACTGTCTCAGAACTGGGAATACTTTCCGTTTTTTTAGGAGTAGTAGGTCATTTCTTTTATCAATCAAATGGTTTAAATAATTCCCAGTGTCGCACACCTAAGAAACAAAGCTTCATAGATACACAAGGGGCAGGATTTTACCATCATAAGATCACATGCATTTGAAAAATGTTGACAGGAAGCACCTGTATGTGAAATCTGTGGTAGCTGATGTACAGTCCTCCTGGTTTGGTGGAGGAGTTTAAGTATCAGGGTGTCTTATTTTCTTGTTTGGGGCTGTGTCGGCTGTAATTGAGGTGTCTCTGCTCTGCCTTGGTCAATGAATGAGCTGAGCCAGAAGGCAAAACCCTCGATTTACTCTCCATCTTTGTTCCAACCCTCACCTACGGTCATGAGATTTGTATCACGGCCAAAAGAACGACATCCCCAATCCAAGGCGCTGAGATGATATTCTGCCACCACCTGGTGGTCATATCAAACACACCATTAGCTCGGCACTTCCACAGTTTGTACAACCAGTGAGCAAGGTCGCATGAGTTTGCATGCTGAATCGTGTTTTCTTCCATTCCAGCTGGAGACGCAGACCCTTCTGTTACCATAGAGATGGAGGAGTAATTTGCGCCGGTGCAGAGGATGTAGACTTTTATCCCGCACACTGTGTACCGCCAGGTGAACGCATTCCAAATCATGTGGATGTTGGGACACACCGTAGGGGGCCAAACAAGTGGGTTACTGCCTGCATTCAGATGATTTGCCAATTCTCCCCCTCCCTCGATGCTTTATATGATAAGGAAAAAAAAGAGCTCGCTGGATGAGCAGGGCCATCCTTAGCCCTATCACAGATGGATAAACAGCTGCGATTTTATTCAGAGAATATTTGTGAAGTATTACCTCACCTACAGAGAAAGTAATTATGTGTGTTCATATCATGATTGAAAGCACCACCTTCTATAGGATTGTTTGTTGTGCTGCAGGGGAAGTGGGAAGCTTCTGTTTGCGACCGAGCCGTTGACCAAGTCTCGGTTTCATCACTGGATGGTACCTAATAACCTCAGAATTCTCGTTGTGACTTTACCTTTGTGGGTGGTTTACAGAGTATTTACATAAGACTTCACGTTATGTCTTTCCATTGAACACAAGCATTTTGTAATATCTCACCTGGCATAACTTATTTAAGTATAGTTTTAGGGGGTCAGGCTTCTCCTAAGAATGTGTCTTGGCCATCGTCATGCTTTAAGCACACAGATGTGAAAGAACCCATATCCATTTTTTCGCATCGTCATTTTTTAAGCACACAGATGTGAAAGAACCCATATCCATTTTATCGCATCGTGTTGCAGTTAAGAGACCCATCAGTGCATCTGCTCAGACCAGAAAATGTAAGCCTGCATAAACATTTGTGCAGCTTAAACTTGTGTCCTTGTGTATTAAGGCAGATGTCATTTGTATTATTTATGATTTCTCAGAATTTTATGTATATCATGACTTAATTCTTGGAGGCTACTGAAAATCCTTTGAGTCTGGAATAGGCGTATGAGACACACTGTGTTTATTAACCGTTTTTATCACTATATCAGATCAACTGTTCCTGATGTAACACTCAAGTGTGGCTGGGATAAAATGAGCTGAAAACAGCTTTTGTCATATGCACAATACTATGCAGGGGGGTGGATGTTTATTTTTCTGCGTTTCCATTTTTTGCTCTAAAGTCAGAACTGTACATATTTTTAAACAGCTGATCCTCATCCACTGGCTGGTCGAGGACAGATTTAAAAAACAAAACTATATGTATATTGGTATGTCTGTGCAAGTATTTCTAAATTTTTAATCGCACTGAGACAGATCCGACTTCCGAATATAGTCAGTTATAAATCATTTCTGTAGTGGAGTGCCCCCATTGTTTCAGTAATGAGTAAAAATTGGGCCTTTTCCAAACCTTGACACCATTCCATTTGGACACCTTAAGTCATTACATCGGGCCTGTCTTTCCTTATTGTTCAAGCTAAATCAAATGCTGCTCATTTCTGAGAAGCCCTCGTTGGGATTTGAACCGTGCGCGTTATGAGACGTGCTTTAAAGTGTGTGTAAAAACTGATTAGGAAACATGTTAATGTTGAGTGTTTCATATTGTCTTGTCTATTTATTGTGGGACTGTTAAGCTTTTATTCCCCTGTGTATTGAGTTTACTGATTTATACCTGCTGCAGGCAGTCTTTGTATATTTTGCTCCCTTCTGTGACACTTTAAATAAACGTTTGAAGCCATGTGCTATTATGAAAGTGTGGGATGTATTTTTTATAAGACATAATACCCAGAGGCAGACAGGTTAGAAACTGTAGGAGCACATGTGGTCCTGTCTGAACACGCCCTCCCCCATTACCTTAGATTTACCCCTTCCAAAAAAGGGAAAAGCCCTTTCTGCTGCTCTGTCTGTAAAGACATATACATTTCCTTATTAAATCAATAAGATGTAACAAGCGAAATAAAACCATCCACCTCAAACTCAAGAAGATTTTCTCCTTTATGAAGCTTGAGCATACACAGCAAAAAAACAACAACAAAAATAAATCAATAAATACAATCACATTAATAATGTTGTGACAGCTCAGGAACCCTCTCAATTAAGCAGCATTTGGCACAACACGGAGAACATGGGATACCAGACAAAGCGAACCAGAGATGTACTCGAAGCAGTTTCCTGGTCATGTTCCTCTGGTTGTCCTCGGTTCAGTCTGTGCCAAAGTATCTCTGTCCAAAATGCGTTGGAGCCACTGGATGAACCTCTGTAGTCAAAATGGTGATGTCTGGGAACTCCTGGATTATAGATTTGGCTCCTGGAACAGGTCAAATAAGATAATATTTTAAAAACATGTGAAGAGACCTCCTAATACACTGAGCGAGGGGTAACAGATTCAGAAACCTCTTTCATTTGAGATAATTGTAAGAAGCATTAAATTTCCAACGGTCTCAGCTTTACCTCTTAATTTTTCAAACAGGGGCTTATTTACACACAGTTCAGCTTTCACCCTTTTAGCACTGACATCTTGTGTTCCAAACTCTTTCTGCTCCCTGTGCTGTGGGGGCTACCATCTCCCTGTTAGCTGCTCAGAGAGCGCATGAGAAGGTGAACCAAAACAACTACAAAGATCTGTTAAGCCAAAAAGAGCTGAAGATTCTTTACCAATTATAATATATTATCAGTTTTTATTTTTTCAAATGCCATTTGATGTCATTAGAATGTCAAAAAGTAGTTTTAGTTTTGGATATTGAAATCTTAGCGACTGAGCTTTGAAAAATGAAATAATCAAAGGACAATGTGATGGAAGACATGTCGAGGCAGTGCACATCCTCAGAAACGGGTCCAGACTGGACTGCATGTAGCTTGTCCTCACCGTTTCATTCTATCGCTGCATAAAATAACCGCAAGAAAATGTGGAATGAAAAAATAGAAAATAAGCACAATGGCTCGAATTGCTTCAAAGTATTGAATTACTAAGTGCATTTTATTTCAACATGCCCTTTGGATTTAATTATAGCTTGCATTTAAGTGTAAATTCTGACCTGATGGATTCACATGAAGAAAAGGCCATTAAGTTTAAATAATTAGGTCCTTCTCTGGGAAACCACGAATAGTCGCATTAAATGTCACAGCTATCTGGTCAGTGGTTAATGGAGAGAAAACTTTTCGAGTTTAAACTTAGTAACGGCACCGAAGCACCGCCACGAAGAAGAAATAAATACAGGTGTCGAGATGAGACGGTTTCTGTGATGTGCTCTGCTGTCAGATGAATGCCTTTATGGGATGTGGGCCGGTATACCGTGAGGGGTGGAGAAGAGGCTGAGAAGGATGATGTGTCTGGGCTGGACTCCGTGCTCAATCAGCACTCTCACTGCCTCGATCACCGTGTTTCCTGTACCTGCAGACATAGGGAATACAAAAGTGAGGCGTCTGCTTCACGTCCCTCGCGTCAAATCCAACTTCAGGGGAAAAAAAAAAATAGGACCTGCTGACTCATGTTTACGAAAGAGCGGGTCCAATACAACTCCTCATTTTTGTATTAAATCTCAGAAAGAGGTGAGCCGTTAACTGCTGATGAGTCCGGACAGGCTGTAATTTTTCATCCAGTTAGCATGCATCACTTTAGCCTTGTGGTCCATCACCCAGACATAATAAAATGTACCTTCAGCTCAATTTGGTCACCAGAGTTTTTGAAAAAATGAGAACGCTACTTTGTGACACAGGAAAACCAGGACTATTAAGACACTGTTTTTGTTGGCCCGCATTATGCTATTCAGCAGCCCGGTGGCCGTCTCCCCGGCAGTGTATAATTTCCCTCATGAGAGCTATAATTATCAGAGCAGTGTGAATGGGCCTGTATGATGTGGAAATGCAGACTTGGTGCTGAAGGTCAACTCAAGGGAGATTTCTCAGAGTGAATAAATACATAAAGCTGTTTTTGCATTTGCACAAAATCAGACATCTGTTGACATTTAAATGCGACTGAAGGTGGTGGCGGAGTCAATAGAAAGGTAGGCTGCGCTCGGAACGCCGTCACTTACTGAGGATTGGGTACATGAGCAGCACTTTTCTTCTGTACACATCTGGGGGGAACTTGGCATAGTAGACCTTTGCTTTCTGCGTCTCTTCATCACTCTGGATGAGGATCTTCCCGATGCGGATGGAGCGGCAGCAGTCACGGAGACCCTGCTCCATGGCCTCACCTGCAGGAGAACACACCCACACGCACACACACACACACACACACACCAGCTGTGACTGAGACCCTACGTTTTGAGATGGAATGTTCTTTCATCAGTGATGATTTAACCACTCATTTAACTCGTATTTCCATTTCTGAAATAAAGTTACTGTTTGGAAATCATAATCATAATAAAGCTTTTTCAGAGCACCACATTTAAATAAGCTCATAAAGAGTAGGTGTCACTTCTGCTTGTGTCTCGAAAAGATTGTTTTCCCTTTCTAAATGTAGCTCTGCAAAAGGCATTAAATACATTCATTATTGTACGACAATGCTAGAGCTACATCTAATTCATCATATATTGCCAGGGAGATGATACATTTTAAAAATAGAAGCAATATATACAGGAACGTTTGTACATGTAAATGAATATGCAGCACGTGGCGTATAAGCAGTTTGCACAGTTCCAGCGAGGTTCACGCTCAGTATTTGATGAGCAACAATATAGAGTGAACTATCTTAGACAAGCTTCCTTGTCATTTTCTGAACTAGTTTTCGGGATTAGTTTTCCTGGCTTCCTGAAAGACATCATAAAGCTGTTCTTTAGACGTTGGCTGCTTCTTGAAAGACACACTTCCTGATGAGACTTTGGCCAACCGGAGATGGATTCAGTGAGCTTCTCCCAGGTCCTGTGTCAGACCTTTGATGGATGTTTTCCCTTTCATTAAGGACACTTTTATAGCCTGCCACTTCTTCCTTTTTCCTACTTTTTTTTTAGGTAGTACTTCCTCCCTTTTGTTTTTTAATTAACAACACATCATGCTGAGACAGGCCACGTTTTAAGTTAATAGCTCTTTGTGATCACTTTCAGAAATACTATTTTATGCCTGTCAAACTGTGTTACATTTGGAATCTTTTACAGATGATGCTAGAGACCTGGGAAGAAATTAAGCTGTTTGTACCCACACAACACTACTTTCTCTCCCCTATTAAATGTCTTGCTATACTCGAATGATTGATTGTCACTGTTTAGCGGCTAAACACAAAATCCTCCGAAATTGGTTAGCAGGCAACGTGAAGCCCCTCAGAAAAGTGAGATAATCATTGCTCCACATTACTTGAAAAATATTGAGACAGTCAAGCTCCTTTTAACAAAATACAAAGCACAAACCGGTGCCTAAAGATTTTATTACTCAAACACCCACATAGCTGGATTCTATTGTATTATTTGTTAATCAAACAATCCATCAGTTTCACCTATGTGAGCAAACATACCGAATGTTCTCACACAGGACGGACTAAACTGGCTGGTGCATATTTAACTTACCACTCCTCATAATGCTGACTCCACAGTTGCCTCTCTCAAACTTGACACCCTCATATTTGTACCCTGAGGGAGGCAGAAGGAAAAATACAGTTGGTAAGAAAAGGATAACAATACATGTAATAACTTAACAAGTAAAGGAAAACATATGGAACCATTTGTCAATATGTATTCTAAACAGTATTTTTAATTTCAGGTCTCTTGTTACAATAGTGACTGGAGGGTTAATATTTCATTGTAATTTTTTCCCCAAAATAAATAAATAAATCCAGCAGATTTTAGGGGACATTTGTGAAACACTCACCCGTTGGAGTAGTCACAGTGCACTCTGAGTAAGGGAGCTGATTCAAACCCTCTTCCACTACTAGTCGGATCTGTTGTGGGACATTAAACAAGGACTCTTAAATAAAAGAAGGAGCATTATCTTGCAGATACAGGATGTATGGAGCAGTAATAACACAATCTTACCAATCGGTCCGCACAAAAAACAAAATCTCCTCTGCTGGTTGACCTGAAAAACACAAGCAGAAGCTTGAGGAGGTCATTCTGGGCTAGGTGTAGATACTTAACTCTAATAACAGTTGAATTTAAACATACCAAATGTCCTTCAATGGTCAAGGTAAACGTTTGCACATCTCATGTTAGCTAAAACAAGCAAGTCTAAGACTTGTTTTATTGATTTACTTAGAAATACGCTTTGTTATTAGAATTACATAACCTCCTCCTTGAACGGTGCCCTGCCTTTAAAGATGTAATCTTCTTAACCTAACTTCCTACATGTATGCACCTGTAGGAAATCAACTAATATCCTCAGCCGTTAAAATTAAATGAAATTGGATTATTATCCAGATAGATTTGGACATAGGCTTTACTTGGAATTGAAGGTCCTGAGACACAAATAGAGGCCACTAGGTCGTGAGGCCGTGGCGTTACTCACTTGTCTCTGATTATCGTCTGTAATTCGCGGATCTGGTCGTTGAGAGGGAGCAGTTTGAGCTGAGGTCCCAGGCTGTGCTGGCTGACGGGCTCAGCCTGACAGGCGTCGCTCGGCTCGGAGTTGCTCAGCACCGCAGGTACGCTGCTGCTGCTGCTGCTGCTGCTGTTCGCAAACCGCACTTGCTTCATTGGGTGCTCCTGGCCGCTGTTGACATTGCTCACTTGCTGATTGTGGCATGGCATCCTGAGTATGAATTCAAAGCGTTTCAGTGCTAAAGCCCGTTAGCGTTTCCTTCTGGAGCCTCACACTTACTAACCCCACTGCCTGACAAAGGAGACAACGTACTCTTTCCTGTGGCTTCAACTCCTGTTTTACGACTTATGCAGCTGTTAAGTAGACACGTCCCATTACAAATAAATAAAATATGTTGCCAACACTCATTTAAGTCGCATTTAAGATAGTTAAGCAGCTATTATGAGCCCAAAAAACGTGGCGTCCTGCTGAGCTACTCCGTGCTAGTCGTGACACTCCGCCGGATATGACGTACCCGGTGTGCCGACTAACCGCCTTCCTTCTTTCGTCAACATGGCGCCGATGTTGGTACCGCTGAAATGCGGTTTCCACTTCCAAAGACGAAAACTAGCCCTTCTCGTTCGCCACACCAGCCCATATCATGTTTGGAATAAAAGTCGAATTGAAGACGGGACGAACCGTCGGCGACAAATCACAGTAGGGGTGAGTGACAGGGCGGCTGGCCGGAGAGGACACGGTGTTTTTGGAGTGACAGTTACCACGCAAGGACAGAGATGAAAGTATTTCAAACTTACATCACTGGCAGCAAACACAAGTATCTGCTCCGGTCACCATTTCTCGATTATTCGGTCGCTGTCATGCCAAAATGCTGTTCATTGGCCATGCGTCGAAAGTCTTTGGCTGAACTTCCACTAGCCAAAGGGCTAATGTAACACCAGTCAGCTGTGTTTCCAGTTGTGCAATTACGTTTTTGTCTTGTTACACATTTCAAAATGGGCACCTGGTTCGTTTAATTTCAACTCAACGTCAAGTTAGTGGACTGTTCAAGTTGGGCTGTTTTCTTATCAAACGAGTGGGTTAAGTCTATACATTTAAAAGTGGACCCAGTCACGTCAGTCACGTGCTCTCAAAGCAGACTGACTAGTTAGATAACAGCAGTCAGTCCCACCCGGGATAACAGCTTACGACTCCTGGCAAAAGTCAAAAGAAACATCAACTGAGTTTAATTGCCACTTTATTCAACACTTTATTTAACACTTTCAATCTTCACGTGCTATACTTCTCTTATAACATCTTAAATAATTGTTTTAACGCAAACACAACCATTTAGACAACTCTAAACAATTTGTATAAAATGTTGCCAACTTATTAAAAAAGCTGAAATAACGAGAACTGTTCAGTCCATCAGTTAAGTTCTTAAGTTGATGCCCTCTGTGGGATGCGGTAAGCTGTGCGAACCTGGCTTTTAGGATGTATTTATTTCCGCTGCACACCTTTGCAGATCCTCTTAGGCTGTGCTGGAGGAAGATGATTATCAGTCGGATGCTATTTTTAGGTGTCTCTGCTGGGTCTCTCAGAGTTATTTTGTCTTTGACCAGCAATGTTTTGGCTAATATCTTATAAATAAAGATTACCCTTAACACTAATCAGCATTTCTATTCATGCCACCAAAAATAAAATTAAAAACACCAGAGTTTGACACTGCCACCACCACTGAAGGAGCTATGATTGTCTGACATAATCAAGCCATAAGACTCATCCTTATTGAGACTTTAATGTACTTTTTATGCACGTCATCTGACCTCTCAAATGCTTTAAATAGCAAGGTTTTCCAGAATATTGTTGTCTGGTTCATCCATCATATTGATAAGGTTTCTGTATTAGTCAGCCACACCAGATAAGACAACTACCCAGACCTAATTTGTATTATGTTAAGAATAATAGCAATACTTCAATAGCTCTGACACAACCAGAAAAACAGATGCTCAACAACAGATGTTTAATTTTGATTTAAGAAAAGCTGTTTTAGGCTGTGTATAAGAAAAATCACATCATAATTCAGCAAAAAAGGTTTGCACTGGTGTAGTCTTCAAAGAAATCAAATTATCCAGTGTTTGCCCACTCAGTTCTCTAGTGAAGACATGTATTTGTATTAAAACCGCCATAGCTACAACACGGGGTGAGTTTACACTAAGCTTGATGTGCCGGTATTAAACCACCCACAGCATATCTTGTATTATCAGACACACTGCCCCAGTAGTTGCGTTAGTAGTTTTCAGCCTACGTAAACTGAAAGTGTATTTAAACTGAGTGTTTTCCTCTTGCTTGTGAAAGGTGCTAAAACAACCACTGGGGTTGATTTCTGAACACATGTTTTAATGTTGAATAATAGGAATTTTCAATTAGCATATTGCTTTCAATGTATCATAGAAAGTTTAGCCAGCCTTTGTGTTTACACATTAACTCATGTGTGCACAATCTTGTGCTTGTGCACAATCTTTGAACTCTGACAGCATGATAGACAATGAGCGTGCGGTGAAAACTTCCAGAAGAAGGCCAGTCACTTTTGTTTACTGTATAAATGTAAGTGCTGTTTTGTTTCTTTGTTCCTTTTGTCTTTTCTTCCCGTTAGTCATAATGCAGAAAATATTAAACATTGGTGAAAAAGGAACATAATATGAGCCATTTCCTGTGTTTCAGTTGAACTCCCTTCAGCATCCACGAGCAGCCGCATGGAGCACAAGCAGAACAGAGGGCAGCCGGCAGATTTTAGAAGCAGCAAAAGTAGGTGTATTTGAGCCACCGAATCAGTGCTTGTTATGAAAATTAAACTCTGGTAACCGTGTTGTTCTCATTGCGTTTCCACAGAATTTGCAAGTTTTCGACAAACGGACATGTTGGCACGGACATGCAGGGGGAGGTCTGAGTGCAGATCCCAAAAATGTGGTGTGTATCTTTACTTTGTGTCAAGTTTTACTTTACAAATTTTAGGACCAGTTTACTCCCTGCACAGCAATCACGCCTTAACTCTCTCAGCATCCAGGGGTTATTGACAGTATTGATCCAACAGTGTCAGCGGTGATTTAACATTTGATCAATTGATCCTATGATCTGTCAATACTGACAAATGAGATTTGCCCATATCTCTGCTTGTTAATCTGGTGTTATCCAGCTGGGATGTCTGCATTGTTGTTCAGGGTTGCTTTGTGTGTTCCGAAAGCTTTTATATTGATTGTTATATTCAATGGCAAACCAGTGTTGTTGTTTTTTCAAAGAAAGTAATGATTCATTACACCATTCATTCATCAATTTCTCACCTAAACTCACATGACTAATGACTGTCTAATTACAACAGTCCAGACAAAGATGTTAGTTTTGCTACATGTTTCAGAAACCTTTGGCTAATTGATTCATTGCTGAGTCATTTACTCAGAAAAAAGTAGATTTCTATACTGTGTTTTTGCTTTTGTTTTATTTATAGATATTCAGTATACAAGTATACATCTTAATTGTATAAACATAGAAGTGTGGAATCTGCAGTGTGGAGAATTCTAAACCGAAATTAGAATTTCCTGTTTGTAGAGGAAAACAAAACAAAAAAAAGAAATTTGGCTTTGCCTTGATTTATTTATATAAAATAAACTGGTGTGCTTCTTCACTTGTGTATTAATCTATTATCCTCCTTTCACAGTGTCACACATTGCTTGATTGTATTTGATTAAAAGCAGGTGTTGGGCACACTGTCACTGTAATTTGCTCGGAGATGTGCTCTAACATGGTGCCACCATATTGAGTGGATTAGAGGAATTACTGCATATTCTTTGGCCTGCAGAGAGTCCCTGTGGCAGATGTGTGCTGGAGCGTGGGTAAACAGCCATGCTGGCAGTAGCTAGCTCTCAGCCTCAGCTGGGATGACAGCCCAGGTGTCTCCTGGGACTTGTAGTGTCAGACTGGATTCCCGAGTCCACCTGGACACTCTGCCATTGTTTCGGCTGCTGCCACAGCTCCCAGGGGACTCCTGTTGACATTTGATGTTTTGTGTGTCTGCTCACAGTCCCATCTTAAGGCTGCTCTGATTGTTACACTCATAAGCAGCCATTTATGGCCGACTAAAGGCTGTTTAGAAAGTTAACAGTTAGTTAACGAGGTACCGTCTTATCTACATGTAGCAGGAATTACTTAAAATCAAAGTACAACTATCTAATAACAAATGTTGTTTTTTCTTTTCCACAGCTGAAGGAGGTGAATTCAACCACAATCCTGTCTGCAATGCTGTCTTATGTGTGGCCAAAGGATAGACCGGACCTGCGGGCCCGTGTTGCTCTCTCCCTTGGCTTGCTTGCTGGAGCCAAGGTAAGTTTAAAGACAAAATCATCTTATTGGCTTTACTGTAAGCTCCATTTACTCGACTCTTTGGCACATTCAGTTAAACTTGGTTTGTCCTCCACTCCACAGAGTAGAAAAAAGCAATGAGACCAGGATCAAAGAAAAAATGAAATGACATTTAATTTGATGACTGTTTGCAGCAGTTTGTATGGATGTGTGTTTTTAGCTTGAACAAGAGGAGACGTTTTCTCTGCTGTTAGAAAGTATTTTTGCTTTGGCAAACTTCACAGGTTGATGTTGGCCTATCACAAATAGATGCAAGTGTAGACTACAGATAGATGTGGTTTATATGAAAATTGAAAATATTTGGTTACCGCTTGTGTAAAGAAAAAAACAGATGGGGCAGAGGTGGGACAAAACAGGAAAAATGGAAAAAGAACAGAAAAAAAGAAAAGGAAAACAAAATAAAGAAAAAACGAGGGCGTAACACTATACTTTCAATAGCTTTAAATGCAACCATTAAAGGGCCTGCTCTTATCACTGTGGTGACGGAATGTGCCTGGACACCAGGATTTATAAACCACCAATGCTCCTGTCTGCATTCATCTCACATTTTAGGGATATTTTTGCATGTTGCAGCTCATTTGATTGTTTTCTGTTTAGAAGAGGGAACGTTAGATTGAACTGGTAATTGGATTTGAGAAATCAGAAACAAGTTTTCTCCAGTGGTAGATCCTTTGTGCCTGGACATCATGCATAAGCAGGGGGTTTAACAATGCTCCAAATCCTATTAACAATCATTACTTACCTCGGTGGGTAGTAAAATCCAGTACCCTGATGTCACAGTCCAAGGCTGCAGATAAGCTCAGTGTGACACAAAATATTATTTCATTTCAGAGATCAAAATTCAAATTTCAGACCATCTCTGAAGAAAACCCTGGTTACTTCAGAAAGGCACATCATGTAAATCTGGGGGTCAGAATCACTGTGCAGGTTTTTTTTAATGTCAGCAGCATATTGTTGTTTGGCTCTGCTCTCGGAAAACATGATATGAAATGGTCATGTGACGTGTGTGTGCTCTGGTAAGGTGCTCTGAAGCCCAGCAGCTAAAAAAACAACACTGCCTTTGTGACCAAACATTTTCATTTTTTTTATTGATAATCAAACTCGGAGGGAAACAGGCAAAACCTGACATGAATAGTTGATGTCTCAGTATGACATTATGCATAGTTATTATGAATGTTCTCTGTTTTCATTGAGACGAAAATGGCACAAGGATCAGTCTTTAACTGAATTGCACCAAGCAGAATTTTACTTTCAGAATGTCTGAAAGCCCTCCTTTCAGACGTTTTTCATGTGTTAGGATAACCATTTCCTGTACAAACTGCTTTTTATGCAGCAAAACTAAATGTCTTGAAATTTAAAGCCATAACTTTTGGTTTTTGATACGGTAATCAAACACTGTTGTCAGAAGTTTTTGAATGCCATTTAGAAAAACATTAGCATAAGCTTTGGTCTAATTGTTAATATATTTTTTTATTTGCAATTCCATCTTCCTTAATCAAATAACCTCTGTGTTTTGACTACTCTTAGCTCAAACGACACGAGCACTCAACATAAGTGATTGCACTTGGAGAGGAGCCCATGTGAAACTAAAAACAATGTCTGTTTAAAACTGATTTTTAAATTATTAATTGCTAGCATCAATCAGTGTCTGATGTATTTCCTCTTCCTTTGTTGATGGTCTCTAATTTACACCCTGGGAAACAATCACAAATTCAAAGCACCTAAACAAGTATGTCCTGCTGCCACCCAGCACGGCTCCCACTAGTGTGTGCTGAGGAGCACAGAACACTCGCACACCATCGAATCTACACCTCTTATTTTCCTGCTTGGTTGGATTTAACCTCCATCTCACCATTGTGTGTGTTTGGAATGAAACCACCAGCTGTGTGAATGCAGTTTTTAAATCAACTGAATAATTATGTGGTTCCTGTGCATCTCACCTCTGCAAGCCACATTATCAGTGACATTTTCAATTCAAATAAATGATTATATGCACGATGGCCTCAAATGAAGCCCCCTGCCTCTGTGCCGGTCTGTATGTCAAACTGAGGCTGAGTCTGTATGTCAAACTAAGGCTGAGTCTGTATGTCATACTAAGGTGAGGCTGATTCTCTATAGCCTGAAGGCTTTTTTCCTGCCACTTGACACTGAGTCTCTATTATGGGATGACACATCGCCAGGTACGAATTGACACAGTGTCGATTTAATCTCCAGTGGTGGCCGTTAATGGATTAAAAGAGCGAATCCAACCTTATAATGTATTAGTGGTAAAATTGAGGACATGTTTTGGCTCTGCGATAATAGGCTCAGGCTATTTTTGTGTCATGTTCTGTTGTCTTGGTAGCAAAGTGGAAGATATTGTTTTTCTTTGAGGGAGTCAGAGGACCTCTTTTGTTTGAAAGTAATACTCACATGTAGCCCTTTGGAGATGTGGCCCTTTGCAGTGCAAATGCCGCCTTATAGGTGGCCTTTTACTTTCAAGTTAAAGCTGGCTTTCTTTTATTCCCTCTTTACATAATTGTTGCCATTTCATTTAAAAACTTGCCAGGAAAAGAACAAAAAACAACCCCCCTGCAGATTGAAATGAAATAGGTCTGAACTGAAAATGCTTTGCCGTGTTATACAGTGTTCTGTCTGTCCTAATGTGCAGCGGACCGCCCAGCCTGAGTCACACAGCTGTCCCTGTGCTTTTAATTAGCCCTAATAACCATTTCAATTCCATTAGCAGGAAGTACCAGCCTCCTCTCTGGCACTAGCACAGCCAGTCAAGAAAAACACATACCATGTTTAAATTGGAAGTGCATGTGAATGGATGGTGTTGGTTTTCCCGCTGCTAGAATCTCCTTTTCGCATGTGGGAGTTACATACATAGTAATGTAACGGGACTGTGCTCTGGAATGCCCAAATCTCAATTCCCTTCCATGCGAGTAAGTGCAAAATGTTCAATGGGAACAGGATTAATTCATTTCAGAAATTTTAAACATCCATGGATGTATAGATTAACATTACTAAAGACCTGTTTTTTTACAGACAGTACGTGTTTTTTATCAATTTATTTCAGAACGGGTTTGGCAAGGTTTGGAGAACCCAAGGCATCCACCCACTCAGATAAATGGAGCCAGGTCTTTGCCATTATGTAGCTTTTTAGTGCAATGGCTTGTTCATTGTCATCTATGTGAAAGACAAAGTGATGCACATTTCAAAGCTCTGTAAATAATCTGAGTGCTGAAACAATGTCCCCAATCAGCAGACACAGGCTCCTCTAATCATCTGCGTAGCACCTGTAAATGAAAATAATTGGCGTTCACAAATAAGGAGACAGCTGTAAGACGGTAGCGTTTTCGAGTAGCCGTTTGCCCTGTTTTGGTACGCTCTGTAATGTAACTGGTGAACAGTGCTGTTAATTAGGTATGTAAGAAAAAAGTTAACTGAGAATCAGATCTGCTGTTGACCCAAAGAAGACCCTCACAAAGATGCAGCACATTGTGCAGTGACTCCTTTCCAAACTGGACCCTCATGGAGGACTCAGAGAACCTTTCATTTTAATCAAATTGTGATTAGCACAAAGGTTACAAAGGCCTTTAAAAGATAACCTCTTTATCTTTAACGTTAGTGTAGATCAGTCATTACCTTTTTGCAGTTGATAAAATACTACCAAATTCAGGGAGCAATCTCTTTGTTTTTTAGATGGAATAACATGGTTTCCTCATCAGTGTAGTCAATTAACGTCTTATTAACGTAGTATTTCTCAAATGGAGCAAACTGGCCTCCATCTCTGCTGTCTAGGGTCAGCATATATTGTATAGCACTTCAAATCTGAGCAAACAGTGGTGCTTGTTGTGTACTACAAGCCAAGCTTGTTTAAAAAATGTTCCCTCCATCTTTCCCTGAGCCTTATAGTAAGTGGAAAGCCTTTCAGACACAACATTCTGTCTGTCAGTCACATAAATGAGGCAGAAATGGTATACTTATATATTTGACCTAGATCGTTGACCATCTTTGCCTAGAAATCCTTCAATTGATCTTTGCACGTAATCCTCTGGCTGTCTGTAAAAAGTTTTGATGACAAACTGTTAAATCTGTCATCATCCATGGTGAAAATCCTCGGACCTGCTGCCAGCAGCTTGGTTCATGTTGGGTTCAGTCTGCACAGGCTGTTTAGCTTTTACCATCTAATCTTTCCTATTGAAAGAAATGTCACCTTCAGCCCATCACTGAGCTGTTCTGTGTGTGATTGCTGTTTAACTCTTTATTCCCCCCTCTCATGTCTGAATGTTTCTTCTCGCTCTTCCTTCCCAGCTCACCAATGTTGTGGTGCCCTTCATGTTTAAGTATGCAGTAGATGAGCTTAACCAGATGTCGGGGCACATGCTGAACCTGAATGACGCGCCAAGCACGGTGGCTACCATGGCAACGACCGTGCTGATTGGCTGTAAGTCCCAGACTTGTATTACACTGGCAGGTGCTGTGCTCATCAGAAGGGACCGGGGGACTCTGTTATCTACAGGCTGACCTTTCCCACCACATTCATATCGATGCTGCTCTGAAACCTCACCTTATTTACATTATGAGCTTTGTGCTGCATTCGAGTTCACCTCTTTTAATCTATGCGACACTCTTGTGAGCACTGATGACTTTTCAGCATGATACCAGTGTGCTCCCAAAGCAAAGGCTACATTTCAAAACTGCAGGGAAACACAGAATTGGTTTAAGGAATTTAGAGTTACATTTGAGTTGTGCTCATGCCAATGCAGTTTCCCTCTCTTCAGTCATCTGCCTCTGTTTCTTTTCTACCAAAATCTGCAAAGGTTGTTGTGGATCAAATTCCCCCCCTTATCAGAGCAGTTTGTACTTTGCTGCTGATGACGAGCAATAGAAACATGAATAAATATTGGAAACATACACCCACTTTGGCCTTGACTGAAATCAGCCACGATGCAGTTCTCACTTATCCTTGCAGCGCCTGATTCTGATAAGCCCACTTGGGCGTTGCACAGTGGTGCAGCTTATTTATGAAGCGTGGGTGAGTGGGGGTGATCTTTGAGAAGACCGGGGTTGCTCTTTGCTCCTTTCTGTGTAAACCCAGGTTCCTGTGTTTAGAGCCTGCACTGACTGGGGTAATTTGAATGTAAAAGCTACACAGCTCTCATCGTACCTTGTCAGATGTGGACACGTTGTTCATTAGACGAGCATTCCTATTTAACGCCACATTACAGCACCGTGAAGACTGGCAGACAGGACGATTATCACCCTGACTTTGGTCTCAGCAGACAAGTCATGTATCCCCACAACTCGGTGAAATCACCACAGGAGCTCCGTGCATCACTCCAACACAGACTCTTATCAATTTGCAACAGTCATGCCAGCCATATTATTGTACAACAATCTATGAGCAGTGTGAGATCAAATAATTTCCTTTTTAAGTGGAAGGCTATTGATTTCATTGAACTGAACTACTTTGGCTTTGCTGCCGATTAATCGGCTCCCTTTCAGAAATAAAACTCGGAAATAAAATGCTCTGTCACTCTTCCAGCCTTTGAGAAGGAAGTAAGACTCAAACAGTTGTGAAATTTAGCCTGTATATTGAAAACTCATGATCTCACCCCCACCTCCAGTATGCTGTTGATACTCAGGGCCCCGCTCGAACATCTCTGGTGGGCTTTAAGACACCATCCTGCTCTGTAATTGCACACTGAGACTGCTGCAGTGCTGGCAGTCCAGAGATGAGACATGTCCCACCTCGTCATGCAGACCTGTCAAATATTATCGAACCCTCTTAGTCTCAACTACTTCAGTCTGATGTAGCACATTAAATGGGGCCAGAAAGTGTGGATCAGTTAGTAATGGTCCTCTGTGTCAGATCACACTGTGGTCCTCCTGTTTGAACCTGCCCGTTTTTAACTGCAGGTGTCATGAAACTCGTTGTCTCCTTTGCTCTCCTAGATGGTGTCTCACGAGCTTGTGCAGCCCTCTTTAACGAGCTGAGGAACACTGTGTTTGGCAAAGTGGCCCAGAGCTCGATTCGGCGCATCGCCAAGAACGTCTTCCTCCACTTGCACAATCTGGACCTGGGCTTCCATCTCAGCCGGCAGACGGGGGCGCTGTCCAAGGCGATTGACCGCGGCACACGGGGCATCTCTTTTGTCCTCAGTGCCCTCGTCTTCAATCTCGGACCCACGGTCTTTGAAATGGGCCTCGTCAGTGCAATTTTGGTGAGACGTGTGATTAAAGCAGGACGGCGCAGACAGCAATCACAAGCTTTGTTTTCCCAGCTTCTCCTAGAAGCACAGCACAGCATGTGTGGCTTCCTGTCTTCTTCCTTATGCCGTTTCAGTTCTTAATAACTCAGGACCTTCCATCACCTTGACATTCTTCACAGCAGTTTGTCTGGAAATTAATTTCTCAGTTATTGTCTCATTTACATACTTAATGGAATGCGAATCCTTGTGAACTTTTGGTGAAAATATAGCCTATTTGTGATGTGATGAATCCCAAAGCCTTGAAGCAGCTTAACATCCTCCTGTTAGGCACACCTGAAACAGATGCCTCCCTTCTTTAGCCACCACAGAACAAAAAGCCTCCTCTATAGCTGCATTCTATTAGACGATAATGTCAGACTGCCCATAATGAGGGCAGACTCAATTGCCCAAACAGCCAAAGAATTAGCATGATTACTTCTCATTGTCTCCCGTCCATTTGTGACACCCTATTTCACAGTGGAATGGTCAACAACAGAGCCATTTCTTATTCAGGATGATCTCAAAGCTGATGACTTACAGCATGTCAAATCTGCTCGTTCTTATTCCTCCCCTCTGCAGTATTACAAGTGTGGAGGGCAGTTTGCAGCAGTGGCCTTGGGCACCTTAACGTCATACACCCTCTTCACAATTCTTGTTACTCAGTGGAGGTAAGAATGAACATGATCTCACTTTCTCTGTGCACGTCTGTATCTCTGCATTGTAGTTTCTTTAAAGCAAATACCTCAGTGGATGAAACGTGCGAACGAAAACATCCATCCCATTGTTCACCTCTCTGCACACAGGACCCGTTTTCGTATAGAGATGAATAAAGCAGACAATGACGCCGGCAACGCAGCTATTGACTCTCTGCTCAACTATGAGACAGTTAAGGTGAGCCCCAGTCACACTTATTCTACTTATGTCCTTCTCTCAAACCCAGCTTTTCCCATTTCTGAAATCTCTTCAGGATTTTTTATTCTTTTTTTTTCTTTTTACCTGGCATGTTGGCTTGTAAACCTGGCAGTTGTGTTGTCAATTAACCTCTCTGAGTTATCCATCGGCTGATGGATACAGTCACAAACAGATACAAACAGTAACTGTATCCATCATCTCCCTAGGACACTTGTCTGGACATTGTCAGGTATTCGTGTTATAAAATGGATTTATTTAAATTATATTTATTTTGTTGATGACCTGGTAACTTTGAACTTGAATTGAACCTAAAAAACTCTACAAGAGTTGTCATTATTTTTTTTACTCTTTTCAAGATGATGTTAACAAACACAAATGAGAAAAAGGGATCACAGTGGAGATGATGAATTTTTGCATCTTCTGATGAAGATCCAACCCAACAACCCAACTTATTTTTTTCTCTCTTAGTCTATTTCGACCACAATCAATGAGTCAATGGTCACCCAGGACAATTTTACTGGTCATTAATGACCCAGATAGTATTGTAGTTACAGTTTGGAGTGGAAATCGTCTGTCCCTGGGGCTTTGTTTTCAGTAAGATGTCACCTAAGGGCCAGAGAATTGAATTGCTGAGTGAATGAGACACTCTTATAACTCCTGATTTTTTTTCTTATTTACCATGTTACTTTCTCTGCTGAGATGTTTTTCTTAACATTTTGTTCTGTGTTATTTTGTGTCATCTGTGTCAGTGTAGCTGGATTTAGCATCACTCTTAGCTGTGAGTGTGCATACGTAATTAGATCTCCGCCCACTCAGAAATCCGTTCCACTTTCACAAAAGGCTGGATGAGAACCTGAACGCGGTGCCTGGCGCAGCTTCAGTTTGTCCTCCATGTGGCACTTTCTTGTCTCTCTTTCTCCGATTTGCTGCATTTACTTATATGCAAATCCCCGGAAAGTCCGTTTTTGCTTAGCACCACTGCTGTTGGCTCCAGAACTAAATCGCCCACTTAACCAAAACAGGGAACCAATAATGCAAACTAAACAACAGCGAGACAGAAAAAGTTTGAAGTAATTGGCAGCAGAGTTCATAGTTGTTATGATTCATGCTGTTTCCCCCCCCTGAATTTTAGATGTGCACAAGGCAGATTTATGAGCCATTTTTTTCTTCAATGATATCTGTCTAAATCACAATTAGTGTTGCTTGTGTCGCATAAGATTAAAGGGAAATACCTGTGCTCTGTTAGTGTGACAGACACAATGCAGACACATCAAGTGATAGATAATCTGCAGCCATATTCTGTTTTATTTGCAAGTGAACACTGGGCTCTCCCTCCAGTTACAACTGCCTAATGTTTGTAACTGTTCCTTTATCATCATCCCTCCTCTCTGCCAAAGCTTCGGATCTACAGCTTGCTCGGCAAAACAGGCTTTGGATGAAGTTCTGTCGCCCTCCACGTCCTTTAAAATCTGTTAGGAGCAGATGAAGAAACAAAGACATGAAAAAGTGCTTCAGAGGCCAACTGAGCCCCAGACTTTGCTCAGAGCAGTCACTGAGAACAAATGCAGCCTGGAGGCAGGCTGAGCTAAAGCGTCTATCAGGCTGACACTGATCTCCATGTTTCCTAAACCTTTAACCTCCACCATATTTGTGTCTCTCCGTCTTTCTCACTACTCTTACACCCCCCATCCTTTTGTCTTTTGTGAATGCATATGCATCTCCTTGGCCTTGTGCTCCTTTCTTTCCTCCCTCATCATGTTTCTCCTCTCGTCTGCAGTACTTCAACAATGAGAAGTATGAGGCTGAAAGGTATGATGCATTCTTGAAGATGTATGAATCATCCTCTTTAAAAACCACAACCACGCTTGCCATGCTCAACTTCGGCCAGAGTGCCATCTTCAGCGTCGGCCTCACCGCCATTATGATACTGGCCAGCAAGGGCATCACAGCAGGTGGGCACATCTGAGGATTGGGTGTAATGTAGAAATGTGTGATAAATTTAATGGTAGACTCTTCGATAACCACCTTTTCATGAGGCTGACCGTCACTCAGTTTAACAGCAGCCAAGTGAAAGGTTGAAAGGTACCTCTATGGGCCCGAATTTTATTAGCCATGATTTACAGTAACAGCACAATGAGAGAAAGTCATATTTTGAACAGATACGAAAAGTTCAAAGAAGAGTCTTAGAAAAAAAATCAAATGGACAGATGAAGTGAAGCTGACTGAGCTCGATAATAAAAACTAATTGAGAACAAAACACAGCAAGCATGAAAAAGTGACATGAATAGGAGATAAAATAGCCTTGGTGCAGAAAATGAAATCGCAGGTGGGTGGAGATGCTCTCTCTGCTTTCACAACAGTTTTAGTGAAGATATTTAGCAGTAGCTTCTTTATTTTTTTCCTCTTAAGATGAATACTTGTTACAGATGGGTGAGAGGTGCATCTCTTTAAGTTGTTCTGTTGCCATTGTGTAGGAACCATGACTGTGGGAGACCTGGTGATGGTGAACGGCCTGCTCTTCCAGCTGTCCCTGCCTCTAAACTTCCTGGGCACAGTGTACAGAGAGACGCGACAGGCCCTCATAGACATGCACACTCTCTTCACCCTGCTCAATATCGACACAAAGATCAAGGTAACGCAAGGTTTCTGTTTTTCTCTATTCTTTTAAAAAATCCTCCAAGAGCAGCAGAAATTAGCCGTAGAAGTTAGAAGAAGTGGTGGAAGACTTTAACACAGAACCGAGTTGTTCCTCTAATTACATGACACAGTGAACCCGTTCACATGTGGTGTAAAAATGATGGGTTGCAGTCAAACATGGCAATTATATGCTTGATGTGACACAGGTGCTTCCTCATCTGTCGCCACCCGTAGTGTCTGACATTACTGGCTGCATTAGTGTAATCTGTGTGTTGATATCACAAGTTCCAGCAGAACTGTAACTGGCTACTTCTTGCTTGGTGGAGGGTGGGTGGGTGGGTGGGGGGGCAGTCATTAAACTGCTGAAACCAGCAGTAATTTTAACAAGGGTGTTCATTATTTTCACTTTTTCTCTCCCTTTTTTAGTTTTACATTGAAACGGTTTCAGATTTCTTTGTCTGAATTGCTAATTCCACTTTAGCCGGACTCTTTCTGGGAAGTCAAACAAATTGCAGTGTGGAAGCTTATTTATGTTGCTTAGTTTTGCTTTGTGTATTAAGATTTGATCATAATGAGTGAAGAAAAGCGAGACAAAGTGTGACTTTGAAGGTGTGAAAGCAGAATTTAGAGTTCAACTAAGTCAGTGGCTCTGTTAGATAGATGTGCATATTTAAAAGTGTACCTTCGGGTAGATTTTTCTCTCTTATACATTTCTTTTGATTGCTCTGCTTCACCTTGTGTTACTTTTGATTAGGACTGAGTGAGTTAAGTGCCAGAGTAGGTAGCACTTTTTAAACAGGTTCTTGCCTAATTTTGGATAGTTATGGTAGGAAAAGGACTTTTACCTTTAGTTTTTGGTTTTTATACTATCACTTATTTGGTTTCCAATTCCGAGGCTGCAAATTGAAATTTTCTGCATTATTTCTGGAAAGTCATTGAAATGGTGTGGTAACTGATCAATATTTTACTGTGTCTGATTGTTCTGCCATGGACGAGATTGATTCAATTGTCACTTTTTTCATTTCTACTTCCTGCCACCTCTCCTGCTCCTGCTCCTTTATTGTGGTTTTCATGCACACAGGTTATCAATTAATTCTTTCATTCTTTTTAAACATTCAAATTATCGGTCAAACCATCACAGATTTGGTTTGTTAATACCTCACTGTTCAAAACTGTCCTTACAAATGGAATCGTAAACACGTAAGAGATCTATTTCCCCACTTTTTTGGTTTTATGGGCCATCTCATGTGCGTATTTATTTACCTTTATGTAATGATAGTGCACCTGCTGTGCAATGAGAAGGTGCTTCCCATCTGCAGCCTGCAGTTACAGGAGCAGAAATGAATCCGTCCAGTTACTTTTTACTCATCAGGAATATTTCCCTCCATTTTTATTCCTGTCAGACCATTACTCTCTCAGTGCTTTTTTTATGCACAGCACATTGGCCTCTTATGCAGATGTCAAATTATTTAAACCCCTTTTCGTCAGAAACTACGCAATGAAATAAAACCTTCGTTTTTTTTTTTGTTGGGGGGCGTTTTATGATCATCTGTTTATACTAATGGTCTGTGGGTTATTTGTCTTAATTGGCGGAGGTGCATAGGGTGTAGTTATTCTGCCAGTACAGACGGTGAGCAGAACAGGTTTTCATCCTCTGTCTAAAGCATCCATTCACTGCTGACCTTGTCTGTGTCTCAGCACACAGCAGCCTGGCTCAGTATGTACCAAATGTTTTTGCTGCCTATTAATCCTCCAGTCAGCGACCATATTTTTACAATCTTTCTTAAGTAGGTGGCATTACGTCAGGACTTTTTTCTGCTGTGGGGCACTCTGTACAACTTGGTCTGACTCAACCCTCTGATGGTTTGCACAGGAGAAGGATCTCGCTCCCCCATTATCAATCACACCACAGGACGCCACAATCCGCTTTGAGGACGTCTATTTTGAATACCTCGAGGGTCAAAAGGTCTTAAGAGGAGTGTCCTTCGAGATCCCAGCTGGAAAGAAGGTGGCTGTAGTTGGTGGCAGTGGCTCAGGGTAGGTCATCTTTTAAGTTCACAGAATGTCACAGGTTTGTCATCCTTCTTAATGCACAGACAGCGCATAAAGCTGGCAGGGCATTACTGACAAGCCCCACATCTGTTTGCAGGAAGAGCACCATTATGCGGCTGCTGTTCCGCTTCTACGAGCCCCAGCAGGGGAACATCTACATCGCAGGGCAGAATATCCGCGAGGTCAGCTTGGACAGCCTGAGGAAGGCTTTGGGCGTCGTACCTCAGGTCAGATAAAAACCTCATTCTTTCACACACTTAACCGGCCTGTATCTCTATCGTCTCCACCACAAATTAAATATGTCTATACCATTAGCTTTGAAAAGTAAATGCTGTATATTTGACCTAATATTTACAATAACGTGCACTTCGCTTCATAATGCAATGCAAGATGAATTGTCAACAGTAGCTTCAGAACTAAGGTGAATTCAATTAGGTTTGCATTTCACTGAGCTCAGAGGCTTCTCTGAACAGATGGCACATGAACATATTTTTGTCATTTGCTCTTGCTCCTCTTTCTCTCCCTTCCTGGTGTTTTTTTTTTGTTTTTTTATCTGCTTACATTCCTCTCTCTGCTGCAGTAAAAACACCCTCTGAAGCCCCATTTTGCTTTTTCACTGTGTTGTCAGGATGCAGTTCTGTTCCACAACACCATCTTCTACAACCTTCAGTATGGGAACATCAATGCTACACCAGAGGAGGTGTACCAAGTGGCCCGTTTAGCCGGCCTCCATGATGCTATCCTCAGGATGCCCCATGGCTATGACACCCAGGTTGGAGAGCGGGGCCTCAAGCTGTCAGGTTTGCTGCACCTTTATATGTACTGCTGGAATGCACTCTCTCTATGTAAACCAGCAACAGAGCTGAAAAACAAACTAAAACACAGACTTTCTCTTAATAACTGGCTGATAACAGTTTGCCACACGTCTTCCATAAAGAGGGGACTTACGTTGGATCCATAAAAAGGTGCATCTGAGCAGCTTATCAGTCAAATGTAATTATAAAATGTTCCTGGAATTTTCTCAAGCGAAACTCTCTTAAACAAAATGTTGTTTGTTTTGACATTTTAGTGTCTGATAGCTAAATCTTTACATCTTCACTGTGTGCCTGAGAAATGACTGAATCATTCGTGTACAATAGCAGTTTGAAAAATTGACAGAGTTACATCACGTCTGCTAAATCACAGCATTACAAATAGCTTTTCAAACTTATTCCTCTTCTCGCATCAACGTTATTCTCTAATTTTCTTTAGTTTATTGTCGGAGGGTGTTTAATGAGAACTTGCCTGAGAATGAAGCTGTCCACATTTGATCAACGCATCTCTGTGGAATGAGGTTCCTTGCATCTCTGCCGCTCATATTGCCCACATAAATGGAGTGTGAGCAGTTTGACTCAACATTCAAGACGCAATTACCAGCAGCAAGATTTCTTTATACTGAGTGACTGAGCGAGTGAGAAAACGGGCAAAATAAAGACATGAGTAACTTCTCATTAATTTCACTGCTCCTATATGTGACAGCTGCCAGAGAGTGTGTAAGAGGAGAGGAGGGGGGCAATCAGGAAGGTGGCAGTCTGGGCTCCGAGCCTCCTAACTCACTTCTGTACTCTTCTCCACTGCCACCGATGTTTACACTCGCTGAAAGCCGCTCGCTTTCAAGAGGCCACACGTCGTTCATATGTAATAAAGGCTCGAGTCAGGCACAGTATGAGAAATCTGTGGGCCCCGCTGATTCTTCCTCACAATTAAATGAAAGTTTATTTTGCCAGCATTTGTGTTGCCTGAGTGATGGCCCCTCATTTGCGGTGATTATTTAATGGGAAGGCCCATACAGAGACCTGCTGGAATCATTCATATTTCAGCTCCAGCCTGAATCTCATCGAGTTATTCTTTTCAGGAGGGGAGAAGCAACGTGTAGCCATCGCCCGCGCCATCCTCAAGAACCCACCCATCCTCCTGTATGACGAAGCAACGTCGTCCCTCGACTCCATCACCGAGGAGGTTTGTCTGACAGCGCAGGAGCACGGTCCCGCTGACACACACACCGGCGTGCATGCATAATGTCCCTCCGACGCCTGTTCAGTGCAGCGGGTCCAGGGCGGCACCTCATCACATCTGCACACACATTTAGCAGAACAAACACCCACTCGGTCACCTGCTGTAGGTACACAATAATTCAGCTCACATGCCTGCTGTGACATACACCCCCCATCCCACACACACACACACACACACCACCTCCGTGCTCCGCCCTGCCACCTGCCACTGTTTTCTCCCACTTAATCTGCCAAACTTTTCTATTATTCAGCTTTGGTAAATGTTATATTTAAAGAGAAAAATTCATCACTGCCTCTGTGAACCTGAACTTCAGGAGAAGGAGTGGTGTAGTAGATGTGGTTGTTAATTAACATTTTTCTATTGCTTTTCAACATAATAATATTTTTGAATTATCATATGTAAACCTGTGAGGAAAGGCATATGAAGGTGGATGTTGCTGAGCAACATTGTATTGACTTAGTTTCTATGGCTGTTAAATTTGGCAATATATTTAATATATATCCTGTCATTCATGCACATTGGCCTATTGTTTTTTTTTTAAGTGTCATTGTAAAAACTGTTTTCAGGTGGGATTGGGACGTGGTCCTATCTGAAGAGTGACAGCGTTATTTTTCTTTGTAGAACATCCTGAATTCGATGAAGGTGATGGTGAAAGACAGGACATCAGTGTTCATCGCCCACAGGCTTTCCACAATCGTAGATGCCGATGAGATTTTAGTGCTCCAGCAGGTAAAAGCTCCTCCACCTCTTTTTAACTGGGTCAGATACCTTCTTTGAATAACATTTGGAGTTGTAATGTCATCCTGATGAAAAGAGAACGATATCGTGGCTGAGAGTTTCCGTGTGCAAACCTGCGCCGCATTAATTGCCATTCCAATTAGATACATTTGCATTGAAGGTAAGGACAATGCCCTGCTCCCCGCATAACCCGCCTTGCATCGTGTCTGCCAGCAACAAGAATTTATCAAGTTGTCTTATTTTGCCACTCATTTGTTTCCAGTTACCTTTCCTCAATGTAAGTGAGGAAAAACATGCTTTGTTTAGCTTTTCTCATTAACTTCAACAACAAGAGGACACTGTCGGCAGAAGACAATGTATTATTTTCTCCATAAGGGCTCATTAAAGCATTCAGTCTCGCTGGCTGTTTTGGTCAGATGGCGTGTCTTGTTTGTCTCAGTGACTAATAATGTATGGGCCTGCTTCCCAGACACTGATGAGGCCTTATCCAAGACTATACACATATTTCAGTGGAGATTCAAATGGGTGCAGTTTTTCATCAGAATGGAAGTGTGATGTAGACACAGCCATCATTGTTTTAAACTGTGGCAGAAAGGAATGTTTTTTTGTGTATTGTCATTGCACGGTGCATCACAGAAGCATTCCATTGAATAGAAACGGGCTGCAATGCGTTCGGGTTTGGAAACGCTGTAAAGCACAAAAGAGACAAGAGGGAAGGCAGTTATTATCTAGAAAGTACGAGTTAATATAGCATGTAAAACCGGTGAGGTGACATTTTCCAGCAGTGCCTGAGTGAGAGGATAAAATGAGAAGAGATTTCTTTGAACTGTGGCGAGTCGAGCATGTTTCGTTCCGTGTTTCCACAGTCAGATGGCAGGGATCAGAGGGTCGTGGCGAGGAGGCACGTACGCGTGTGATGTCGCCACAGCGTTTGCTGGTGTCACCAGCAGAGGACTGCCTGGGGTGCTCATTAAAATAACGAGCGGATGCAGTCACATGCTCATCTTGGGTACACTAAAGATGATGCCAACACCTCTGCATGCTGAGGGGGGGGGGGGAGGGGGGGGGGTGGGGGTTCATTTGTGTTTTACTGCGTGGGAGGGATGTGTGTTTGTCGTGTGGATCTGCGCGTGTGTGTGTCTGCGAGTCGTTGTTTTTGTGAGAGGAACGCAACAGTTGTTGGGGGGGCGGCGAGGATCAAGGGGGGGGAGCAGACTCTGAGTGTGGTCATTGTTGTGTCGTCATGAAAAGAGTCTAACTATAGGACTGGGTGGAGATGCGAAGCCTTTCTGTTGTGCTAATCTGTGCGTCTTCTCTCCTTTGGTTGTTCTTCCCCTCCCCGCCAGGGCAAAGTGGCAGAGCGGGGGAACCACCACACCCTCCTCAGCACACCAGGCAGCTTGTACGCTGATCTGTGGAACGCTCAGAACAGCAAAATCCTGAACAACACCACGAACTCAGGCCCGCCGCCGGCCGAGCAGCTGTCCCAGAAAGAGGAGGAGAGGAAAAAATTGCAGGAGGAGATCCTAAACAGCGTGAAGGGCTGTGGGAACTGCTCCTGTTGAGAGAGGCTGCCGCTGCCATGTTTCTTCATCTCTCACAGATGGCCTACGCTGGAATCCCTGGTCTGTGCAGCATCGGAGAGGAGGGGGTTACATCCCCACTACCCACCCCAGCCGAACCCCCATTAGTGTGACTATCTCTCCTCCTCCTTATGTGAATAAAGGCCACTGCTCGCCAAAATGAAGGAGGAGGAGCAGAACAGGGAGCAAGTGTATTTAGCACTGGCTGGTGGCCAGAGATACAGCTTATATGCCAGTTGTCTCATCTGAAGCAAAGCGTAAGACCTTGTATATCACATACGTGTGTTTAAGACATCTGTTAGTCAACACGGCTGTCCTCTCGTCCTTATTTTTGACATCAGGCTCAATGACATCTGCCATTGCACTGGAAACATGTAATGAGGCGCATATGCTTTGATGCTGACAGAAATGTCTTCTGATTTAATTTTTTAAATTGTTCACTAAATTAACTGAACTTATAGTTTGTATTTTATAAAAGGTGTGTACACATCACAGCATATTCATCAGGATCACAGTGAAAGCCCAGGACAGAAAAAGCAGCGCGTTTAACGCTGCCGTTTAAAGGAAATGCTCCTCTGAGGTTCCGTCAAAATGCCCATGTCATGGTTCTGGATTTAATATTTATCTCAGAAACACAAAAGCAGCATTTGGAAGTCTGCTTTCATGGACAACAAAAAGCTGACAAGTGAATTCCTAGTATGCCACAGCGTTGTATCGGAAATATAACACTCATAAGATGTAGAAGCTTTAATAAATCATGAATGATTCTCATAACAACTTGAGCCACAACTTTAATTTTAATTTTTTTATTTAATTTTTTTTCCCCTTTTGTCAAAGCATCTAGCCTTGGTTTACAGGCCTCATCAAACAGGATGCAATTTTAACAGGCCTAAAACAGCCTTTCTGATGGTATGACCAAAATGTGGAGTCTTCATCTTGAATGTTGCATGTAAATGTGTAAAAACTATCAAACTTTTCAGAGGGCTGTTTTTGGTTTCAGTATGCACATTTTTCTTAGGAATTCTGCCATGATATTTTATCTATGACGGGAGAGGTAATATTTGGGTGTCTTGTTTGACCCACACAATGTAAAAGCCTTCCAAAGTGTTCTGGACTACATTTGTGTGAAACAGATAAATAAAATGTCGGTTTTTGAGTCATTTGTCCTCACATTTTGTCTGATGCGCAATGTAGTAACAACAATCTAATAAGTATCATTTGTTTTGTTTTAATTTTCTGACGGTAATTTTTAGGTTGCATCTCTCCAGTGCAACTCCAGTGACTGTACTAGATGTTGGTTTACTTTACAAAGCCAGAACATCATCATTCCATCAACAGGAAGCTTTGAGAGTAAAAGAGCACATACTTTATGCTCCTCTTTAAGTCTCCTGCTTTCTCCGATAAGTGAATGGCTCTTGTAAAGCAGCTTTAATATGGAGAAAATTTCTAGCTAATCTGAATGCGGCCACTATACTGCCTCGTTTTCCACCTCAATCCGGTCGAGGATGTTGTGACCTTCTGACTCCAATTTCAGTGAATTCCGTTTTTTCTGTATCTGCAGACTTGCTGCAACACAACTAACTGCAGAAAAAATGTAAATGACCATACAACAAGAAGGAAGAGCTTTAAAGTGCTCAACATGTGTATTGGAGGCCAAGCAATAAGGACAAGAGTGCTTTTCTTAAAAAAATCTGTTTTATTCACCCCAAAAATATGAAAAATGATGCCAAATCAACAGTTCAAAGAAACAAACACATTTATGACGTCAACCTAATAGAAAGTGACTCAAAGGACCAACACAAACTAGCTCACATAAAGGGAACTTAAATACTGGTTTGTTAAATCATGTATAACACAAGGGAGAAAACAAAGTCACTGCTGTAGTCTAAACAGACCCATACGCCCCTTTGACTGTGCAGCAAGAATATGGTTCAGTCCAATAATGCTGCAGTTTTGTTAAGTTTTGTTGGTGAACCAGGAAGAAGTCAAATCACATGAGATTTCTTTCCCGATTTATTTATAACATCAGCTACTAGATTCACACTTTCTGAGTTTCTCAGTATGCAAATTTCCCACTTTAAAATAAATGAACGGGTATTTTTCTCTGAAGACAAATACATCTGAAGTTAGCTTCCAAATTGCACTCTTAAGCTCAGTCTTCAAAGATGTTCGCTTTTGGTCATAAAAAATGAAGATGACATCAGAGGAGCTGGCTGAGAGGCCCACAATGGCACTTGGGTTATTTAGATTCAGGATATAATAACATCCTAATCCAAGGCCTCAAGCCCTGCTCCTCTGCATGTGTCTTGTTTCCATGATCCACAGAAGAATTATTCAAATAGGTATTTTTTTACCAATGTAATTCAGCTTTACCACAACTGTGTGCCTTCATGGTAAAGAGGTGGGTAACTTACTAATGTGAGATAGTATCAGGCAACCAGATGTCTTCCTTTAAGTTGATTTTGTCTACTAATACATGACAGATCATCTACGTGAGGAGAATTCCGTTTGTATGGAGGAAGTCAAACCAGCTGAATTACCAAAAAAACGTAGCTGACCTAGAACGGAGCCAAAACAAAGTAGCATTTTGTGACATTTCTTGTTTATGCATGGCAATCCAGCTGTGGTCAATTTTGGAGCCTGAATGCACGGGAGCAACACTCGTTAGCAACAGAAGCATTAATATTTAATCTGACAAAATGGCTAATACATTCAGGCTGATATTGAATATAATTTTTTTTGCTGGGCTTTTAATGAGCTTGCTAGCTTGCTGGAATCATTATAATGTGTAATAGAATGCTAACTGCATTCTGCATTTCTGATTAAATTACCAAAAAAAAGAAAATGTGGAAAGATTTGGTGTATTGACTATGCTTGACTTTATGACTGCACATAGACTGCATCCAGCCTCCAAAACAAATACATAAAAATACAAATAGATTAATGGACATTTATTTTAAAAAGTCAGTCTTTTAAATTTCGGAAATAACCAAAGAAAAAGTTATCCGGAACAAAGACTTTGTTGGCAAAGAAACCATGTCACAGACGAATAAAGAAAAAATACAATTTAACAATGGGATTATTTTTAGAAGGACCACCCACATACTAATTTAACACCGCCATGATTTTCATTTGTGATCATGATTTTATGAGTTTTGTTAATCTTAAAAGGACCTACCTGCTTTGGAAACAAACGCAATGAAATCACAGTAATTGCATGTGACAGAAAATCAAAATGTGTATACCTATACATTTGCTTGCTCCAATATTCATAAAAATAAATAATAATTATTATAAAATAGATAATAAATAATTAATTTTAAAAATCATGATTAGTCTGTATTTGCTGTTAGGAAAATTTAATTTGCATTTCATTATAAGACCGACTGTGATAATCCTGTGCTAAAACTCTATGAAACCAGGCATGGCTCAAAATCTGCAATCTTAATTAACTTTAAAAGATTACAGTGTTCCTCTCCAAGGCCAGGCTTTTTCAAGTTTTTGCTTTGTTCAGTCCCACTAAACACAATAACTGCTCCATGGACACCTTTTTGACAGAAATTTGGAAACTAAACTGGGACTGATACATAATTGCTGAGGAGGACATCAGAGGATCCACTTTTGGGGTAAAACGAAGGTCCTGCAACAAACCGAAACCTGCACAATTCAGATGATTTAAAAAGTGCTATGAAAACGAACAGCTCTTTAAGAAGGATACAATTGTGTTGATGAGCACATGAATTGATAATCAGAAGAATGGCTATTCCACAGTTGAATTTTTGTTTTGTAAATTCTCCACGTATTCCAGAGTGGTTTATGTTTGTGCAGGCTACCAGACCACAAGAAAATAATGACAAACAATTGAAATGATACATATCACATATCATATAAATATATATGCAGGTATATAAATACATGTATATCATATACAGTATATGAATTATTATGAACCATGATTATTTAACATATCTTTAAACACCTGCCTCAGAGCTGGTGTATGGTCAACTGTACCAGGGATTCTTTTTTTTTTTTAACAAACCAACATGTTGCAACATAGATATGCAAATCTCTTGATCCCCAGTCAAAGGATTTTTCTCTGTGTTACCCATGAGAGCTGTTAGATTTCAAAGAAGGAAAAAAAATCTGATTATTGATCTTTCTTTCCCCGAGTACATGTGGATAAGATCTGTCATTGAGGCTAAAGCGAAGCAGCCATTAGCACAATTGTGACACTAATGCACTGTCTTTGTGTTCATTGTCTGGTGGACAGAGTGACATTAGATCTCCCTTTCGGAACCCCTGCAGCTCTCTGGATCCTCCTCTGGGACCGGAGACATCATCCCAAAAATTTCTGTGAGGCCTTTTTTTGGCGAGATTCTAATTGAAACTGACGATGACAAAAACATTCACAGGACGTGACAGACCGGGCCCTGCTGCGCTGCATTGTGCAGCCTCCCCCACCTCCCGAGCAAGTCACACATTAGAGATGAAAGTAGACTTTGATAAAACCCTGCTCAAACAGAAACCAACTGGATGATCATGGTTGGATGAGTCTCCTTTCATGCGTCAGATGTCCAGGCAGATGAGTTGATGTTAATGGTGTCCTTCTAATCTAACCTAGGAAGCGATTATAAGACTATTCATTAGCGAGTCCCGGCAACGTTCAGCTACTGCCCCTAACAGGTTATTCGCTAATTATTCGAAAGAACAGAACTCACTATGATCTGCCAGGGTTCTGTGAAAGAGCCTCACATATTTCACAGAGCACTTTTTTTGTGTTGCTTTTGGTCCATGTCAAGAACATAAGATGTAAGCGTTGGAGTTTTCTGAGCAATTTGAGATTTATTTTTTTACGCAGGAAGTGTGTTTGGTTTCTGGCTATTTATGTTTAAAAACTGAGTCACAAAATCTGTTGTTCATCTGCACTTAATTGTTCTGTGTGGCACGCATGTGATTAGTGCTCTTGTGAGCTATTTGTCTGC